GAGCCTGGGTGGTGGGAAGGGACACAGGGCCTGGGGAGATCAGCCCGAGGCAGGGCCTCTCTCAGGGTCCCGCTCTGAGTACCCACACCTGGAGCCCAGGCACCTGCCTTTCTCCCCTGCAGCCCTGACAGAGAAACCCCACATCCGGATGAGGGAGCCTCTGGAGTCCGGCCGCCCCACAGAGCTGGCCTGCAGCCTGCCAGGGGCCTGCGAAGGGGGACGACCTCTCACCTTCTCCTGGGCGGGAGCCGCTGTGGACTCGCTGGACCCCCAGACCCTCCGCTCCTCAGTGCTCACCTTCACCCCGAGGCCCCGGGACCATGGCTCCAGCCTCACCTGTCAGGTGAAACTGCAAGGATCTTCAGTGGCCACGCAGAGAACCATCCGGCTCAATGTCTCCTGTGAGTGTTGGAGGGGGGGCTGGGTCCGTGGGGCAGTGGGAGCGACGTGTGTGTGTGTGTGTGTGTGTGTGTGTGTGTGCTGGAGGCTGAGTTAACCTGAGAACATGCGGACATGGATGTGCGTGTAGGTGGGGAGGGGCCAGAAGGACAGCTCTCCCTCCTTCCCGGTTCCCACCGCCCCTCCTTGGGGTTGGGGTGACTTCCATATGAAGTGGGGCCCTGTCTTTCTCTCCCAGATGCCCCAGAGAACCTCACCATAGGCGTCTCCTTCAGAATGTGTGTGTGTGTGTGTGTGTGTGTGTTTTCGCTCGCTCGCGTGCGCAGGAGGCTGAGCTAACCTGAGAACACCGGGGCATGGATTTGCATGTAGTTGGGGAGGGGCCAGAAGGCCAGCTCTCCTCCCTTCTGGGTCCCAGATTGGGGTGACTTCCATGTGAAGTGGGGCCCTGTCTTTCTCTCCCAGATGCCCCAGAGAACCTCACCATAGGCGTCTCCTTCAGAAATGACACAGGTAGGAAAGAACCCCTCCTCTCTGGGCTGGGACCTGCCCTGGGGCACTGGTGGGGCAGAGGGGGGCTCGGGAGTTTGAATGGGATGAGACATGGGAAGGGCAGGGATGAAAGTCATCACCCCAGTCCCTCACCTCTGGTGGGTGCGTGCCTGACCTGTGTTCCACACACCTCTCTCTCTCTCTCTCTCTCTCTCTCTCTCTCTCTCCCTCAAAACCCTTCTCCCCA